CCAAGCAGCAGGAAGGCTGACGTTTCAGGCCTAGGCCCTTCAGAAGAAGGGTCCTCTGATGCTGCTTGGCCTGCTGTGTTCATCCAGCTCTACACCTTGTTATCTCAGATTCTCCAGCATCTGCAGTTCCTACTATCTTGGAAAAGCTTCCAACAGTTTGAGACTGGAGGTTCAACAGCAGTTCAGGAGTAATCTACATTATAAATTTCTTTTAGAGGTATTACGAATGTTCAGAGTATGGCTTCTGATTGCAATGAAGTAATAAGATTACAGGAACTATCCCATTTAAAGATTTCATATTTTACCTGAAGAGAGAGGGAGGAGTGGTGAGGGATATGGGTGAGAATATTACGGTTCTATGCAATGAAAATGCTAGTATTAAGCTAAAGGTCACTCATAGAGCTTAAAGTCACAGGCTCGAAGGGCTGATAGGTGTGTTTTATGCTTCATGTTGAGAACTACTCCCACTGTATCAATCACAGATAAGGCCATCTACGTCCTTGTATCACTCTCTACCCACATCTCCCTTTCACATCCTGACCTCTGTCTGATTCTGCCAGCAGATAAATTCTATCCCCTAATTCATCAACAACTCCACTTTCAATATCCCATCTGTCAAACATTTGGCCTGCCCTTTATCAAGGCATTTCTAATAATGGCCTTTCCCGTAAAATAGCTCTCCGTGGTGATTTCAGACAGACAAATGAGCATGTGACACCGAGTCGAAGGTCCTTCAGGCTCAGTTGATTTTTGGCTTAGTGTACATTCCTATATAACACAGACTCATTCATCACGAGCTGCTGCTGTGGATGAACATTAACAGGAACTATTGCATTTCCCTCTGGTCCTTCATCACAATGGCACATTCCAAAAGAAGATGTTTAATAGTTTCCTCATCATCACAGCTGTCTTGAGGGCAGTGTGTGGTGGTGTGGAGAGTCTGAGTGAGCATGAACAATATCACTACCAACCAAGTTAGGTCTTGTTGCTTGTTTGGAAGTTCCGGCATTGAGACAAAAAACCAAATGACTTTGATAGTTTGCTCATTGAACCATCTGACAGGATCAACCCACCATCACCATGTGGGTCTCTAGAACATTCAATGCTGACCACATTGCCTCATGGACTTGTTTTTGCATACAAACCTTTCCGCAAGAGATAGATGATATATTTAAGCTGAAATACTTAGAGTGTTCAGTGGCAGTGTGGCCAGACCCATCATCCCCAACACAGTTGTGCTGAAGTATATGTGTGTGTGTGAGAGACCCTGTAAACCTCATAGATGTTATATGATTGTCGGTACATGAAGAACCTTCATGGTAAACAAGGCAACCATTTACTATATCACTGTAATTACAGACATGGTCTGGAATTTGAGCTAAAAAGATGATGTGCTTATAATACAAATTCAATTTGATTTAATCACTCACTGTAAATCATTGATTATAGAGATATACTTAATGTTATGCAGTACAGAACAGCTAGATTGTTTAGTCTGATGTGCTTCTGAGGTGGCATGGGCTAAATAGTTTTCCAATAAGACAAGAATATCCTCAGGAGGAGTTATGTTTGGGTGTGAGCTGAATGTGGGAGAGTGAGGGATCCAGACCGGGGCCAGAGTCTGGACACGTTTCCCAGCTATAAGTGGTTAGGCCCTGCAAAGCTGCAATTATGTCTCTATCCAAAGATGCCACAGAAAGAAACTGGAGCAGGCACAGGTAAACAGCCTGAGCAGGAGGACAGGAACCAAAAGATCCCGATCCTGTGGGAGAGACTGGGAATCAGTCCCTGTTCCATCAAAATATGCCAGGAATCAGTCCTTGTCCCTTCAGGAGAATCATTCCCTGTTTCACCAGGACAGGTTGAGAATCATTCCCTGTCCTATCAGGAGGGGCAGGGGAACATATCCTGTCCCGTCAAGAAAGATTGGGAATCAATCTTTCCCACTCCACTAGCACAGGTTTTGGGCTGAATCATCTGTCACCACGACAAATTGGAATATTTTATTGGCATCACCAGGACAGACTGGAACATTGATATAAATCAACAGCAGCAGCAGGTCCCTCGAGACTTACCAACTGCTGTGTTGAAAATTAAGGTTGTGCCTAGCTGCACTATTGAAGAAGTTTCACTATGTGCAAACAGCTTTGAAACAAACACAGCTAGAAAGTAAACTAAATCGGGGATTACTGTATCTGCCTGTTTGCTATGAGCAATGACATTGGAGATCTGATGCTTACAGATTTGCTGTACTCTTCTGAGACATGCTCATATCCTATTGTTGCCAAGTTGCCTTCTTTCCCAATTTCACGTGTGCTTTGGCTTTAATTCTGTACTGTCTCATTCCTGGTAATCAATAACTGAATGCAACAAAGAACAAAGAACAAAGAAGATCCCCCCATAACATTGAAATATTCTAGAAAACTTTATTTTATAGTCTAGTTTACACAATGTAGAGATACAGTCAGGGACATAGTATTTCTGAGCAGATATTAACTGTATTCATTCCCAGGATGTGGCTGAAACAGGCTAGGCCAGCATTTATTGCTCATTCTTAATTGTCCATGAGAAGATTGAGGTCAGCTACCTGATGATCCACATCAGTTCATGTGGTGCAGGAGTGAACATCTCTGTAACAAGTATTTGCAGCTTAAGCAACTTCTCTTAGGAGCTAAGAAACTGGAATCTGAGCCGTAGACATTGCATTCTAACAGGGGAGGGGGAAAGTTATGTGGACATTGCTTAAGAAGGCAGTCAGATCTCCTAAATTAGGTAATTCAAACTTGGTGACAACAAGGTGCAGGGCTGGATGAACACAGCAGGCCAAGCAGCATCATAGGAGCAGAAAGGCTGATGTTTCGGAATTCAAACTTGGTGTCTGATGTGTGCAAACAAGAACTTTAAGAAATGTATCTTTGTTCAGTGATACTGAAATAATGATGCCCTTTCTTATCCCCCTTCTCTCTCATCTACAAAGAAAGTATGAATTAAGAAAATGAGAATTATTTATTTCAAAGATTTAATGTTTAGTACTAGAACAGAAATATTTATTCACCAAATGCCTAACATGTTTTGCAGAACAAGTATTTATAAAATAAGCATTTTATTCCAACAGAAAAAAATGTATTTAATATTTACTTCAGATTAATTGTTTGAGAAGGGATGCTATTGGTAAAGTTCATTTTTTAAATTTAATATTTAAACATCTGAAGTTTGAATAATTCCACAGGTAAATTCACAGTTACTGGACCAGCACACCCTGTTGTAGCCATTGTGGGTGAAGATGTTACATTGGGATGTCAGGTTATGCCAAGTTTACCCGTCAACAACATGGTGGTGCGATGGCTTAAATCAGACCTTGGTTCAGCTGTACACACATACAGAAATGGAGAAGATGACACTGCTGCTCAGGATTCTGACTATAGAGGAAGGACTGAACTGTTTAAAGATGAGCTGCCCAAAGGAAACATTTCCCTTAAAGTAAAAAATACAAGAGTATTTGATGACGGCAAATACAGATGTTCAGTTGATGATGAAACAGATTTTGAAGAAACTGTGATAGAATTGAAAGTGGGAGGTGAGTGAACTGATTTTCATCGAAAATAACTGGGAAAACAACATTTTTAAAACAATTTTTTGATCAAACATATTACAACAAAATTTCACATCACAACATCAAAGAATGTGATCACTGATAACTACACTTTATTTTAAAGATATTAAAAGTATGGCAAACACAGTTACTTATACTGTAACCTGAGCTCCAATTTCTTTCTATAACCATCTAATGTACACCCCTAACAAACTCAAGTCAGATACTAATAAAAAAATTGAAACATTAACCAGTTGGCCAGGATACTGCTTCAGGGATGAGATTTCTTGGAATTACTGCTTATTTTTGATAAGGTTTTCCCTTCAAATCTCCTCCAAACGTTCTACACTGTAATTCTCTGTACAATAAAGCATCACTAGTATCTTAAGTTTAGTCATTTTGGATCAGAGGTCTCTGATTCTAATGTTCCTTAACTCTTGAGTCTTATATCTATGATCTCTCTTGCTGTCTCCCCTTTTCTGGCCAGCTTGGCTATTCCAAAATTCAACTCCCTGTGAGTGGAGTCCTTCAGTTATTAATTACAAAACTATTTTAGCCGACATTTTGCCTGAATTTTGATTGAAAGAAATTTCTCTGCAGCTAGTTTGATCCAAATCTAAAGCCAAAATGCTTGGACACAGAGTCACAACCAGTAACCTACTCAGCCATATAATAACCTTCTGGGTGACCTGTTTCTTTTGTTTGTCCCTGTACAACTTAATCACATATTTGGTTCTTGAAAGTAAATATTTCTTACTTTCAGACAAATCTAATTCTTAAAGGAACCATTGCCCAAACATAGTATATATGTTTCCACCAAAGGATATGGTATATCACAAATATTTTCTGTGGTTTACACATTGTTAACAAACAGTTTTTTTTAAAAAATATGTTTATTTCTTTGTAGGTTTGGGGCGTAAGCACTGGATCCAGATAGATGGATATAAGAATCAAGGAATTCAGCTTGTGTGCGAATCTAATGGATGGTTCCCAAAGCCAGGGCTACAGTGGACCAGTGCAGCTGGACAAAATTTAACAGCAGAGTCTGAAATAAGTTACCACCAGGACTCCAAAGGACTGGTTACTGTGCAGAGCACTGTATCTGTAACACAAGATTCAACAAACAGCTTCAAGTGTCTCATACAGAACAACCTATTGAAAAAAGAACAAGAAGCAACTATCCAGATATCGGGTCTGTAAATTATAAAATGGACTCAGTTAAAGGGATTAATGATTGATTTACAGTTCCAATAGCATCATAAATCAAATTATGACTAAGATATTATCCTGTTGATAACAAGGTGTACAGCTGGATGAACACAGCAGGCCAAGCAGCATCAGAGAAGCAGGAAGGCTGACGTTTCGGACCTAGACCCTTCATCAGAAATGGGGGAGGGGAAGGGGGTTCTTAAATAAATAGGGAGAGAGGGGGAGGCGGATAGAAGATGGATAGAGGAGAAGATAGGTGGAGGGGAGACAGACAGATCAAAGAGGCGGGGATGGAGCCAGTAAAGGTGAGTGTAGGTGGGGAGGTAGGGAGGAGATAGGTCAGTCCAGGGAGGACGGACAGGTCAAGGGGACGGGATGAGGTTAGCAGGTAGGAGATGGGGGTGCGGCTTGAGGTGGGAGGAGGGGATAGGTGGGAGGAAGAACAGGTTAGGGAGGCGGGGATGAGCTGGGCTGGTTTTGGGATGCGGTAGGGGGAGGGGAGATTTTGAAGCTTGTGAACTCCACATTGATACCATTGGGCTGCAGGGTTCCCAACTTCACCTGGACCATCTCTAATACCTCTCTCACCTTCCTGGACCTCTCTGTCTCCATCTCGGGCAACCACCTAGAAACCGATATCCATTTCAAGCCCACCGACTCCCACAGCTACCTAGAATAAATCTCCTCCCACCCACCTTCCTGCAAAAATGCCATCCCCTATTCCCAATTCCTTCGCCTCCGCCGCATCTGCTCCCAGGATGAGGCATTCCACTCCCGTACATCTCAGATGTCCTCGTCTTTCAAGGACCGCAACTTCCCCCCGTTGGTGGTCAAGAATGCCCTCCACCGTGTCTCCCACATTTCCCGCAACTCATCCCTCACACCCCGTCCCCGCAATAACAACCAAAAAAGAATCCCCCTCGTCCTCACGTACCACCCCACCAACCTCCGGATCCAACGCATCATCCTCCGACACTTCCGCCATCTGCAATCCGACTCCACCACCAAAGACATTTTTCCCTCCCCACCCTTATCTACTTTCCGGAGGGACCACTCTCTCCGTGACTCCTTTGTCTGCTCCACACTCCCCTCCAGCCCCACCACACCCGACACTTTTCCCTGCAACCGCAGGAAGTGCTACACCTGCCCCCACACCTCCTCCCTCACCCCCATCCCAGGCCCCAAGAAGACTTTCCACATCAAGCAGATGTTCACCTGCACATCTGCTAATGTGGTATACTGCATCCGCTGTACCCGTTGTGGCCTCCTCTACATCGGGGAAACCAAGCGGAGGCTTGGGGACTGCTTTGCAGAACACCTACGCTTGGTTCGCAATAAACAACTGCACCTCCCAGTCGCGAACCATTTCAACGCCCCCTCCCATTCCTCAGACGACATGTCCATCCTAGGCCTCCTGCAGTGCCACAACGATGCCACCCGAAGGTTGCAGGAACAGCAACTCATATTCCGCTTGGGAACCCTGCAGCCCAATGGTATCAATGTGGATTTCACAAGCTTCAAAATCTCCCCTCCCCCTACCGCATCCCAAAACCAGCCAGCTCATCCCCGCCTCCCTAGCCTGTTCTTCCTCCCACCTCAAGCCGCACCCACATCTCCTACCTACTAACCTCATTCTGCCCCCTTGACCTGTCCGTCCTCCCTGGACTGACCTATCTCCTCCCTACCTCCCCACCTACACTCGCCTTTACTGGCTCCATCCCCGCCTCTTTGACCTGTCTGTTTCCTCTCCACCTATCTTCTCCTCTATCCATCTTCTATCCGCCTCCCCCTCTCTCCCTATTTATTTCAGACCCCCCTTCCCCTCCCCCATTTCTGATGAAGGGTCTAGGCCTGAAACGTCAGCCTTCCTGCTCCTATGATGCTGCTTGGCCTGCTGTGTTCATCCAGCTCTACACCTTATTATCTCAGATTCTCCAGCATCTGCAGTTCCTACTATCTCTGATACAATATTATCCTGTTGTATTTAATTAAGAATGATCTTTCAAATTATTTAAATTCAATGGAAGATATTTACATAAACACAGTGACTGTGAAATTGGAAATATTATTACTTGCCAAACAAATAGTTTTGAAGTACAAAACCGATGAGATGCATTCTTGAATTGCTGCAGTCCATTTGGTGTTGGTACACCCACAATGTTGTTAGGGAGGGAGTTCCAGGATTTTGACCCTGCAACAATAAAGAAACAGCAATATATTTCCAAGTCAGGATAGTGAATAGCTTGAAGGGAACTTGCGACTGGTGTTCCTATATATCTCTTGCCTTTATCCTTCTGGATGGTAGTGATTGTAGATTTGGAAGATGCATGACTAGCTTAGTTTTTGGCTAATAGTAACCCCTAGGATATTGATAGAGAGGGATTCAGTGATGGTAAAGCAACTGAATGTCAATTGGTAATTGTTAGATTCTCTCTTGTTGGAGATAGTCATTGCCTTGCATTTGTCTGGTGTGCATGTTCCTTGCCACTTCTCAGCCCAAGCCTGGATATTGTCCAGATGGTGCTGCATTTGGACATGTATCTGAGGTGTTGCAAATGATGCTGAACACTGTGTAATCATCAGCGAATATCCACACTACTGACCTGCAGGTCATTAATGAAGGAATTGAGGATGATGGTTGAGCTGAGGATACTACCCTGAGGAACTCCTGCAGAGATGTCCTGCAGCTGAGATGACTGACCTCCCAACAGCCACAACCATCTTCCTTTCTGCTAGATATGACTCCAGCCAGCAGAGTTTTTCCCCGGATACCAACTTTGGTCGTGCCCCTTGATGCCACATTTGGTCAAATGCAGCCTTTATAGCAAGAGCAGTCACTCTCACATCACCCCTGGTATTCAGTTCTTTTGTCCATGTTTGAACCAAGGCTATAATGAGATCAGATGCTGATTGAATCTGGTCAAACCCAAACTGGATGTCATTGAACAGGTTATTGCTAACCAAGTGCTGATTGATGTCATTTTGATTCTACCCTTCCATCACTTTATTGATTATTGAGGATAGACTGATGGGTAGTAATTGGTTATGTTTAAATTGTCCTGCTTTTTGTGTACAGGACATGTCTAAGCAATTTTGCACTTTGACAGGTAGACACCAGCATTGTAGCTGGAATAGCTTGGTTAAGGATGTGGTAGATTCTGGACCATATGTCTTCAGTACTATTGCTAAAATATTGTCAGGCCCCATTGCCGTTGCAGTATCCAGTGCCCCAGACATTTCTTGAAATTGCATGGAGTGAATCATATTGATTGAATATTGGCATCTGTGATGCTGGAGACCTCTGGAAGAGGCTGAGATGAATTATCCCCTTTGCAATTCTAGCTGAAGATTGTTGCGAATGCTTCAGCCTTATTGTTTGCACCGTGATGCTAGGCTCCCTGAGGATTGAGGATGGGGATATTTGTGGAGCTTCCTCCTCCAGTGAGTTGTTTAATTATGCACCACTATTCATCACTGATGTGTCAGGATTTCAGAAATTAGACCTGATGAAGAGTCATTGGACTTGAAACATTGATTCTGCTTTCTCCCCAGAGATGCGGTCAGACCTTAAGAGTTTCACAGCAATTTCTATTTTTGTTTTAGATCTGATCTGTTGGTTTTGGGATTGCTTAACTCTGTCTATTGCTTGCTGCTATGCTGTTTGACACTCAAGTCTCCTTGTTTTGTAGCTTCACTTAATTTTTAGATGTGCCTGCTGCTGCTCCTGTTCTGCCCTTTTGCACTCTTCATTGAACCAGGGTTGATCCACTTGCTTAATGGTAATGCAAGGCCATGAGGTATCAGATTATGTTGGATTATGACTCTATTGCTTCTGATGGCCCATTGTGCCTTATGGGTACCCAACTAAGTTGTTGGATTTGTTCGAAGTCTATCCCATTTAGCATGGTGATAGTGCCACACAATAGGATGTAAGGTATCTTCAATATAAAGTCAGGATAGATGGTGTATGACAGATAGTGTAAGAGGAAATGTTTCAGACATTTAGTGCCTTGGAATGATTTCAGAAGTTCTAGTGGAAACTGCAGACACTATGGGCTTCAGCTAAATCTACCACAGGAAATAAAGTAGTGCTGAAAGATTTAAATGGATATAAATGAGGGAGAGTAAACCTTAGGCTAGGAATGACAATAAATTTTATCAATAAACTCAATAAAGATTAAAGGAACAAGGAAAGAAGTCTGCAAAAAAATGCTGTGGAGGAGGAAAAGAGAATAAAAGTAGAGAGTAATATGTGATATACAGAAATTGACAAGAGAAGGTCTTTAGGAGGTCCCTCAATGCATGGCCCAATCAGTAGATGATATGGATCTTACAAACTGACCATACATGCTACAGCAATTCTTCCTCTGAGAGGCAGTGAGAAAAATAAAAATGGATAAATTCATCTCTGATTCCCTAAGGGAATCAAACAGGGTTTCAGAGAACAAGGAATTGTTCAAGGTTTCAGTGTGTGAATAAAAATTGAAAGAATTTCAGACATCTAGAGCTGTTAATTAGAATATAAATATGTTGTAAATTATTGAATTATGGGAAAGAAATTTGAATTAATTTAAGAAGTCTTGAAGTAAAAGAAAGACCTTGGCTGGAAGTTTTTAATGCCCTATCATTTGCTTGTGCGACATTTCCTTCACTAGAAGTCATTAATAAGATGAGCTTTTATGGCAAACTGACAGTTTTGTTTAAAAGTTTAATTCTTAGACAAGCTCTTGGTTGAATGCCTAGCTGTCGAAATCCCTGTGCCGGAGATTGACAAGATGAAGACAGCTGGAAACTCTCCTGTCATTGAGCAAACCAGGCCTCTGTTGCTTCAGCCCCAGCTATCATTAATTTGCTACAATTCCTATCTGGAATGTGTTGGAGTGCTCCTGTCTGGAGCAACTCCTCCAAGCTCCAGGTTGATTTGAATAATTTATCTTTTAGGACCCCTTCACATTCCCTGTTCAGGATTCCCTGACTTGGTTGAGTTTGACTTTCTGAATTAAAATTACAGTCTCGTTACAATAATACGTTGCAATTCTGATTCGTGTGTTTCAAGAAGCCAACAATGGGAAACTGAATTGGCTGTAAATTAAGAAGCCTGTGTAGAAATTATGTTTGATGGGAAGCTGCTTCATTCGGTGGAAATGAAAACACAATTTGGGTGTGGCCATAAACTTTTAACTTTGGTGACATCAAACATTTTAAAAGAATGGTTACTGTGGAATATATTTGAATTTATAGTATCTAATTGATTGCCATTTACTTTGCAGCTGAATTTTTCCCATCTGTTTCGGGCTGGTTGGTTTTTTTATCTCTGATGCTCATTCTTCTAATAATAACTTTTATTGCTGGGATCATTTGGATTGTGAGAAAATACAGACACATCAAAGGTATGGCCTCAGTCTAAGTGACAACATTGAATACAGATGTAAGATTTAAGATGAAAACAGAACTATTTATTCTATTAGAAAGTAAAAGCTTGACTGATTATTGAATTTATTGGATTTTTTCAGAACTTGAACGTGACAAATCTATCAAAAAATATGGTAAGGATTTAAATATTTGAAATATATACAAAATGGTAGTGAATGTTGAGTTTCAGTACATGTAGCAATGATCCAGCTTTACTTTTGAATAATGACAATTAAACTGACTTGTTAAGTATTATTTTCAACATGGTGAGCCAATACCTTTTTCATAATCTTCCATTGTTTGTAGAACCACAATAGGGAGCATGAAGCAACATCAAGGCTGGTGAAAGAACAGGGATAATTCAGTGTCAGTCAAGTTACCAATTTAGATGAGCCTTTTATCTATAGTATGCTTTTTGATTAACGTTATCTTACAGCTCTTCACTAGTATCTCCAAAATAACGTTTCATAATTAATTATAAGGTGAAGATGCCCATTTGATCCTTTTTGCCAACATTTGGGCTTGATGCCAATTTAGCAGAGTTGGGGATCACTGCCTACCACATTCTCAACTTACAAATCAGTGATCATTAATGTTGGAACAGTACTCACAATTAACATGGACAGAAGCACTGAGATTGACATGCTATTTATAGCACTGACTAAACTGGATGAACCCTGAAGGAACCAATTCGAGGGAATAAACAACTTAAATGTTGTCCTCATCAACAAATATGCATTCATGATAACAGTAGTGAGCATAACCATTGGCCATTCCTTAAGAATGAAAGGTCCTACCTACAGATTTTCCATGCTATAGTGTAGCAGTGCCATCATGCTATATGAGACAGGTTAGAGATAGTATAGCAGATCAAACTGGACTATATGAGGTGTTTTGAATTGTCAGTAGCAACTTAACTGTTGACTTCCATAAGCTATACCATTGTAGTATTATACGTGCTCATTTCACCATCATCATTAAATTGGTGATGAATATTGATTCAGTAGGGATTGTAGCAAGCTGTACCAGGTATTGCATGAAGTATACCATGTAATGCTGCATGAGCAACAAGGGGTACATGCATCCTAAACATGTGGAAATTTGTCCCTGTCTCAACCATCTTCAGCATTATCAATAACCTTCTCCCCATTAGAAGGTGAGATATCAGCATGCTTGTTTATTTTTGCACAATATTCAATCCCATTTTCAACTCCTCAGATGCTGAAGTGGTCAACGTGCATATGCAGCCTGACCTGGCCAGCATTCAGGCTTGGATTGATGAACAGCAACATAAGGCAATGGCCATCTCCAAAGAAATAGAACCTAATAATCTCCATTTGACATTCTTTCTATTCTTCCATGGGCTGTAGATGTCATTGGGTGGCTTGTTAGTGCCATTCTAGAGAGCTGTAAAAATAAACCAGTCCCTGTGGGTCTGAAGACACACGTAAGTAACACCAGATAATAACAGTAGATTTTCTTCCTGAAAGGACGTAGGTAAACAGAATGGACTTTTATAGCACAGATGAAAGCTGTTGTGGTCACCATTATTGAAACTAGCTTTATACACCAAATTATTAATTTAATTTAAATTCCATCAGTTGCCATGATGTGATTTGAACTGTGTCCCCTAAGAATTAGCTTGAGTCTTTGGATCACTAGTCCTGTAACATTACAACAATGTCACTATCTTCCCTTTGGTATTACCATCCCAGAATCTCCACTTGCAACACCCTGGAGGTTACCATTGATCAGAAACTGAACTGGGGATTGGCCATAAAAGTACCATGGCTACAAAAGCAGGTCAGAAGCTTGGAATTTGTCAGTGAGCAACTCATCTCCTGACTGTCCAAAGCATGTCCACCATTTACAAGCACAAGTCAAGGGTTTACTGGAATAAGTTCCTTTTATTCAGATGGGGTTGGTTCCAACAATGCTCGAGAAGCTCAACAGTATCCAAGACAAAGTAGTCTGCTTAATGGTCACCCAACCACCACCTTAAATAGTTGCAGCAATGTACACCATCCACAAGACGCACTGTAGCAACTCACCAAGTATTTGACAGCATCTTTCAGACTCATAACCTCTATCACTTTGGAGGTCTAAAACAGCAAATATGTGGGAATACCAACACCTGAAAGTTCCCCTCTAAGCCGCATACCACCCTGACTTGGAATTATGTCACTGTTCCTTCGCGGTCACTGGATTAGAAATCAGTATTGTGCTTGCACCTATACCAACTGGCCTACAGCAGTTTAGGAAGGCAGCTCTCCCTCACTTTCTCAAGGGCAGCTGCAGAGGGGCAACAGAAAACCATGAGACCATAAGATATAGGAGTAGAATTAGGCCATTCAGTACATTGAGTCTGCTGCATGAGTCAATCACAGCTGATATGTTTCTCAACCCCATTCTCCTGCCTTCTCCCTGTAACCTTCAATCCCCTCACTAATGAAGAACCTATCTATCTCTGTCTTACATACACTCAATGACTTGGGCTCCACAACCTTCTCCGACAGTGAGTTCCACAGATTCACTGTGCTCTGACTGAAGAAATTCCTCCTCATCTCATTTCTAAAGGGTTGTCCCATCACTCTGACGCTGTACCTTGGGTCCTAATCTCTCCTACTAGTGGAAACATCTTCTCCACGTCCACTGTATCCAGGCCTCTCAGTATTCTGTAAGTTTTAATGAGATCCTCCCTCATCCTTTTAAACTCCACTTGGTACAGACCCACCATCCTCAAACGCTCCTCATATGACAAACCCTTCTTCATCATCATCATCATAGAATCCCTACAGTGTGGGAACAGGCCCTTCGGCCCAACAAGTCCACACCAACCCTCAGAGCATCCCACCCAGACCCATCCCCCATAACTCACCTAATCTAGACATCCCTGAACACTATGGGTAATTTAGCATGGCCAATCCACCTAGCCTGCACATCTTTGAACTGTGGGAGGAAACCCACGCAGACACAGAGAGAATGTGCATACAGACAGTCTCCCGAGAGTTGAATTGAGCCCAGGTTCCTGTTGCTGTGAGGCAGCAGTGCTAACCACTAAGCCACCATGCTGCTCCAAACAAAGGCTGACACAATCAGCAAGTACTCATTTTTACACGCTCACAACTCCTAAGAGAAGTAGTTTCTGATCTGCTGTCTCATTTTTGACAACTGCTTGTGAACACCTCAGGATCATTCTTGTAAACCTCCTCTGCACCCCATCCAAAGCCAGCACATCCTCCATTCCATATGGGGCCCAAAATTCCTCTCAATATTCCAAATGCCGTCTGACCAAAGCCTCATACATCCTTAACAGTACATCCTTGCTCTTGTATTTCTAGCCCTCTTGAAATGAACGCTAACATTGCATTTGCCTTCCTAATGCCAACTGAACTTGCATGTTAACCTTCAGAGAATCCTGAACTAGTACTCCTAACTCCATTTGTGGTTCAGATTTCCGAAGCCTTTCCTATTTACAAAATAGAGTCTATGCCTCTATTCCTCCTACTAAAGTGTATAACCTCACATTTTCCCACATTGAATTCCATCTGCCAATTCTTTGCCCATTCTCCTAGCCTGTCCAAGACCTTCTGCAGCCTCTCTGCTTCCTCAATATTACCTATCCTTCCACCTATCTTTGTGTCATTTGTAAACTTAACAACAATGTCCTCAATTTCTGACCTAGCCAGCCACACACACATACCATGAACAAATGGAGAAAAAAATGTATGCTTTTAAAAAGTAATAACTTCTTCAGAGGTTCACCCAAGATAGAAACTATTGGTTATTATCAAAGCAACAATATTAAATAGTTAAAATAATAACTGTCGGATGAACAGAAAGTCTACTGATTGTTAAAGTACTTGTTTCGTACATGTTAATAACATTGAATACAAAACTCTAGAAAAAGTGCAGCTCGTAATTTAAATTACTGAATTTAATTGTGCACTCAATTAATGTTCCAAAAATTATAAACAGAATGAGGCACATTATTTACACTCCTCAGGATTTCATTAATAAGAAACACTTGAGAAAATGTTCAACATCTTACTTCTTCAAGTTTAAGTAAATACTTCTAACCAGATGAAAACAGCAAGAACTGGAAACAAGTTGACCATTCTCTGCTTGAAGCATTAAGGTCAGATAGATTCAATTCTGGAGATAAAATATCTTTGACAGTGATGGACTGTTACTGGCAAAGTATACAATCTGAAAATGTAATGCCTTAGTGTCCTGACTCCATTTCTCACACCATCCAATTAAGTAGGTTTTCATTCAGAATATCAAATGAACAGCAATATATTAGTGTGATTACACACTGTTGACATTAGTGCGTGTAAGGACTTTGATGGGAATTTGCAAGGTATTTCTGGAATGTTGAATGGGAAGACTGGCAAAATAGCATGGAAATGCATCAGGTGACACGCTTGATGGCTTTCTATCATCATGCCTTTCTGCCAGCTAGTAGTAGGAAAGGTGGCAGATTGAGTGACTTAAATCAATAATTGAGGGCCTTTTCTTGTCTCCACTAGCATTTTACCAGCACCAGAACGGCCCTTTAATGTATGGGGACAGAGCCAAATAAATTCTTGCAGTCTCACTGCTGGTTCCAGTGCGGAAGGTGTGTGGGTGTGGTTTTCATTTGTGGGGTATTTTGGCTCATGGAGGGACTTCACTTTGACAATTATTGCTCCTGCAGCATTGGTGCTGCCTGCCCTAACCAACATGACCCATCTCGAACCAGGGAGTGTCACTTTGACCCAACCACACCTCTGGTCGTGAAGGTGCATATCCATTAATATATCCCCTTTTCTAGGTACAGCCTAAGGCTGCTGCATCCAGTGCTGATGCCCTGATTGAGCTGTCAGTTCCCAGGGGTGAGTGTCATTCAATGGCACAACTGCCTGTAAAATGCTGCCAGGTCTTGCTGCCTTCCAAAGTGTGACTGCCTCCCCTGCTTTTAGCCTTGGTGGCATGTCTCCTGTTGCTATTGAATAATTCCAGCTATTGCACAATTTGGTAATAAGCCATCCAGCAATTAAGGCCTTGGTTATACCCTAAATGTGTGCTGAATCATTTGAAATTACAACCGGGAAGGGGAAAGGAACAACTAGGATTCCCACTTTGAATGTTGAATGTTATCCTCTGAACCCTGATGCTCCTCGTGGTTGAATGACCACCCAATGCTTATTGTCTTAACTTGGAAATGGCGAATGACCAGATGAGCAAAACCCTATTAAAGCTGCCCAGTAATATCAGCATTCCTGGCCTGTAAGGGGAGAAAAACAGGCATAAAAACTGAAAGAAAAATGTTATGTTAATAGGTTTTGCAATTGCTTCAAAGTATAAAATAACAGCGCTTTGTGAAGATTGTGAAAAGAACAACTCTTGTGTGTATGGTACTTTTAATGACTTCAGGATTTTTCAAAGCACTTTTCAAACAATGTGTTTATAAAATGGATTAGCTGTTGCAATGTGGGGAACACAGGAACCAATTTGTGCATAGCAATGTCTCACAAACAGTAAGGAAACGCATGAGCAAGTAAATGTTATTGTGATGGTGGTTGAAGGACACTGGGAGAGCTCCCTCACTTTTCTTCAAAATGGTGCCATATGATCTTTTTTGTCCACTTGAGAGACAGACCGTGGTTTAACACTTGACTGGAAAGGTGGTACCTCTGACTGCGCAGCACTGAGAGTCTCAGTTAGGTTGTGCACTCAGGACTTTGGAGTAGGGCCCACAATCTCTTGTTCAGGAGGTGAAAGAGATTAACCCGAAACAATGCTAACACATTGAAATTTTAAGGTTCAAATCAAAAAGGGAGTGCTTGTCAATATTTTAATGTTTGTGACAAACAAATTAATAAGGTATATTTATCTTCTCTCCTTTTGTAGACCAGTGGAAATCTCTTATTGAATCAGGTATGTTGTATATTAATGCACTGAGTAATTTGTGGCATTAGCCATAGTCAACAATGTCTTTGCTACAGTAGAAATCTGATGAGAAACAGAGGGATTAATTTTCAATCAAGTTGCCATTTAGATCAAAAGTGGGTAGGAACAGTTTGCTGTCATCAGTTGTCATGCCAATTCTCTGCTATGGTTTTGATCATGAGCTATTTTCAAAGAGACCAGATTGGGATTGGATCAGCTGCCCGCTGGCAACCAGAGGCTAGCTAACAACTGACAAATTACTTTAACTATCGTTTAAGTTGAATTCGCATTCCCAAGGGTTCCAGTTGGCAACACAGGAAGCCCACATTGGTCTGGAACATATCAATGTGATAGTGGGGCAATGGAGGTCCCATTGTTCATTTCACCTACATTCATAATGTCACCAAACTGCGGCTAATTCTTCTTTGAAATAATATTTGAAAAATTAAGTTAACTCACTGGCTGCTCCCTCACTGGGTGTCAATCTGTGCATGCTGAAGGGTCTCAGGTTTCAACACCTTGCCCAGGAATATGAGCCTGTTCACTGTTATTGAATTGGCATCCCACTTCAAAATATGAATAGGTATGCCTTTGTGACCAGCTGAAATAGGACATTGATAGAAATACCCTGAACTCTTTAGCTCAGTTATGTTTTGCTCCCAAAGTTACTGTAGGTGCCAACAGATGACCCAAGTGACAGAAACAGCGTCTGGGACCTGTTTGAACTCTTCAGCCAAAAGGCAATTTCCTTAACCATTGAGATCTAAGGATTGAGAAAAAAATTCAAAACACTGAGAAGATGGGTAAATTCAACGGGATAAATTAAATGTCAAATGATGTACAATAAAGAGAAGGGAAGAATAATTGGGGAAGAATAATTGGAAAAGAGAGATGGAAAGGCTAGAAAGAAAGCAATTTAAATGATTGTCATTTTAAAATCTCCCTGAAAAATTCAAAACCCAAAGGATCAAGACTAATAGTTACTTTTCCCTGCTAGACAGGTTGATTATAGTCATTAAAAATGATTACATTGTTTAAAAGGTACTGATAAAGATAAGACCTAACTTCCTGTAGAAATTGTAATGGTCAAATACAGCATTAAGTTTAAAGGAGAGATTTAATAGAGATTCAAAAGATAAGGGATATTGAAGGATATTGTGTCTCCTGTTTGGAGTGATGTTCATCAAAGGAGAAAGATTTAAGATAATTACCAAAAGAACCAAAGGGAAGTTGTGGAACTTTTTTCTCTGTTTTTAATCATTCATTGTGATCTAGACATTTCTAAAAGGAAAAAGGAAAAAAGACAATGTTGTCGAGGAGAATACTGAGATACAGGCTATTAGACGAGATGGGATTGAGGTGCATAAGGAGGAGGTGTTAGCAATTCTGGAAAGATAAGTCCCCTGGGCCGGATGAGATTTATTCTAGGATTCTCTGGGAAGCTAGGGAGGAGATTGCAGAGCCTTTGGCTTTGATCTTTATGTCATCATTATCTACAGGAATAGTGCCAGAAGACTGGAGGATAGCAAATGTTGTCCTTTTGTTCAAGAAGGGGAGTAGAGACAACCCTGGTAATTATAGACCAGTGAGCCTTACTTCGGTTGTGGGTAAAGTGTTGGAAAGGATTATAAGAGATAGGATTTATAATCATCTAGAAAGGAATAATTTGATTAGGGATAGTCAACATGGTTTTGTGAAGGGTAGGTCGTGCCTCACAAACCTTATTGAGTTCTTTGAGAAGGTGGTTGATGTGGTGTATATGGACTTCAGTAAAGCGTTTGATAAGGTTCCCCATGGTAGGCTATTGCAGAAAATATGGAGGCATGGGATTGAGGGTGATTTAGCGGTTTGGATCAGAAATTGGCTAGCTGTAAGAAGACAAAGGGTGGTGGTGGTTGATAGGAAATGTTCATCCTGGAGTTCAGTTACTAGTGGTGTACCGCAAGGATCTGTTTTGGGGCCACTGCTGTTTGTCATTTTTATAAATGACCTGGATGAGGGCGTAGAAGGATGGGTTAGTAAATTTGCGGATGACACTAAAGTCAGTGGAGTTGTGGATAGTGCGGAAGGATGTTGCAGGTTACAGAGGGACATAGATAAGCTGCAGAGCTGGGCTGAGAGGTGGCAAATGGAGTTTAATGCGGAAAAGTGTGAGGTGATTCACTTTGGAAGGAGTAACAGGAATGCAGAGTACTGGGCTAATGGTAAGATTCTTGGTAGTGTGGATGAGCAGAGAGATCTCGGTGTCCATGTGCATAGATCCCTGAAAGTTGCCACCCAGGTTGATAGGGTTGTTAAGAAGGCGTACGGTGTGTTAGGTGTTAATGGTAGTGGGATTGAGTTTCGGAGCCATGAGGTCATGTTGCAGCTGTACAAAACTCTGGTGCGGCTGCACTTGGAGTATTGCATACAGTTCTGGTTGCCGCATTATAGGAAGGATTTGGAAGCATTGGAAAGGATGCAGAGGAGATTTACCAGGATGTTGCCTGGTATGGAGGGAAGGTCTTATGAGGAAAGGCTGAGGGACTTGAGGCTGTTTTCGTTAGAGAAAAGAAGGTTAAGAGGTGACTTAATAGAGACATACAAGATGATCAGAGGATTGGATAGGGTGGACAGTGGTGAAGGCTAGCATGAGGGGACATAGCTTTAAATTGAGGGACAGATATCAGAGGTAGGTTCTTTACTCAGAGAGTAGTAAGGACGTGGAATGCCCTGCCTGCAACAGTAGTAGACTTGCCAACTTTAAGGGCATTTAAATGGTCATTGGATAAACATACGGATGATAATGGAATAGTGTAGGTTAGATGGGCTTCAGATTGGTTTCACAGGTTGGCGCAACATCGAGGGCCGAAGGGCCTGTACTGCGCTGTAATGTTCAATGTTCTATTTTCTAAAAGGGTGAATGTTCTATTTTCTAAAAGGGTGAATAGCAACAGATTCTGTTGTAACTTCTGTAAGATAGCTGGATATACACCTGAGAAAGAAAAGGTCTATTGGGAAAGATTGGGCAGTGGGATATTGTAAACCTCTACGAGGCAGCTGGCACAGTTATGGTCAGCCGAATGGCTTCCTTCTATGTTGTAACGTTCTTTCAAATACTTCCTTTTTCACAGTCTGAATATAAGTCTTGCATTGAAGATGATTTAATGTATTTACAATTAGTGTAATTAATTTAATTTTTTTACAACTGCCCACACCTGTATGTTTGAAATCATTCTGTGTGAGATGTGTACAATATAAGACCTGTTCCACTCAGAGTGCCTAATCAATTCTCACCAGCAGGAAATAGCATGGAAATTCCTGGTGTATGGTTCAATTACAGAAACTTAAAATGTGCTGAACCACTTGCCCCAGGACCAGGTCTTGGCAGGCTTGGATGCCATGTTGTATCATATTTGAGCTAAAGGGAGAGGTGGAATTCTGCTGGGGCTTTTTCCCCTGGAGTGCTGAAAAGTCTTTTTCCCAGGGTAGGAGAATACAAAACGAGGGGGCATAGGTGTAAAGTGAGAGGAGAAAGATTTAAAAGGGATCTGAGGGGCAATTGTTTCACATAGCAGGTGGAATTAGCTGCAGGAGGAAGTGGTAAAAGTGGGTACAATTAGAACATTTAAAAGGCATCTGGATGGGCAAATGAATTGGAAGGGTTTGGAGGGATATTGGTCAAATGTGGGCAAATGGGACTCGAACAGTTTAGGATATCTAAACTTGGCCTAAAGGATCTGTTTCAGTGCTGTATGCTCCTATGACTTTATATTGGAAGCAAAATCTGGGGGATTTCAAGACTAGGGGGCACATTTTTAAGGTGAGAGGAGAGAGATTTAAAAAAGACATGGGTGGTTTGCATGTGGAATGAATTTCCTGAGGAAATGGTGGATGTGGCTACAGTTACGTTGTTTAAAAGATACTTAGATAAGTACATGAATAGGAAACGTGTGGAGGGAATATGGGCCAGGAGCGAGGAGGTGGGCCTAGTTTAGTTTGGGATTATGTTCAGCATGGACTTGTCGAAACGAAGGGTCTGTTTCCATGCTGTATGGCTTTATGTTGGAAGCAACTTCTTAAGACCTCTGACTGATGTTAACAGCTCACACAGAAACAGGTCTGAAAAAGCATCTACCCCAGTTGCAATGTAATTTCAAAACAGTCTTAAAAAGAGACATCAAAACAATGTAAAAAGATTGTGCTCCAAATTCCCTTGCCTATTCAGACTGTGGCAATATTGTATTACTTAGGGTCTCAGTCATATCCAGACTGTGTTTCCCAATTTATAGCCATTAGTTAAAAATGCATGGGAATTCATTTCTGTTGAGTTATTTACATGGTGCTTTCCTCAAATTTAGTGGGTTTGTTTTCTGATTTCAGATTGGACAAACATTTCAGAGTGCAAGGGTAAGATCTTCAAGTTAATCTAATAAATATTTTTGTGAATTTGAATATAACCGATCACATTGCTTGATCATAATCACCATAGTTGTGAAATTGTCTTTGCAGAGACCCCCTCTCCTCTGTCTCCAACTTGTTTGGATATATTAGGGTAATTTTCTGGATTCGTGTTGCTGACTAAGAGTGTCAAACGCCAGCAGTACATTATAGGAATTTGCAGGATCACTGCCCACAATTTTCCATAGATCATTTGGAATGGATGACAAATCGAGAGCAGTGTGCATGTAGTTAACCAATTTGCATAGCTGCAGAACAAGCCAAACTTCTCAGAAAACCAGCTCATAACTGTGCAGAATTAATTTCTTTTATGGAAATCAAGGTCATCCACAACAGTAGCCTTTGCCCCTTTCATCCCTGATTCCTGTCATCTTCCTGTTTCAGTTTCCATCCAAACTGCATTCTGCAGTTTCTCCCGTCTCCCAGTCAACCTACATTACACTACATCAGCTCCACCAATGCCCTGTTGAAAGTTTTCTTCTTTGCCCCATGTGTATCTTTTTCTGTGGTGTTTTCCTCATCCGCAGGGCTCAAAATAATTATTTCTTAGCGAGGCCTTTTTCTATGAAATAAAGCAGCTTGTTTAATTTTCTTGAACATTGCTTTTTGATTTTTGCAAGCACCTGTTTTCATTTCCATGAACTATTTGCTAAATAGGTGATCTCATCTGGATGCTGAATGTTGAAATCATTAAAATTGAACCTAATTGCCATTGAAATCGTTGTCTCTTCCTCCATCAACATGACAACAATAGACATTTTGAATAGGTGCCCTGGTTCCCAATGCTGCTAAGGAATAAACAGCAGACAATATGTCAGATGAAGCAATTCTGTCACTTAAATATCATTATGATAAATACATATGTGACTGTAATTAAAAAAAAGGGGGACTTGCTGTAAAAGTGCTGTTCCACCATAACCAAGTGAAGAATGGCTGACAAATCCTGGCCATTTTAACCCCGAATGATATTTCCCCAATATTTATTGAATACGGTTGTGCAACATCAATCAAAGCAACCTCCGGTCTTGTCAACAGATCAGAATTAATATTAGTCTATTTCTCTTTTCACACTGACCATAAGCCGTTGCAGAAGTTGTCCATTGAATCTGCTATGCCTTTCAATGAATTCATGATTGAACTGAAGATCCTCACCTTCACTTTCTTGCCTTTGTCCCATGATACTTGATTCCCTTAATGATTAAAAATGTCTATCTCAGTCTTGAATTTATCCCAGCCTATCCCAGCCTCCAGAGCTCTCTGCAGTAAAGCATTCCACTTAATCAGTATCCTCTAAAATATTGCTTCTCATCTCTGTTCTGAGTGACTGTCCTTACTCTCCGATCATGCCCTCTGGTCCTAGAATTTTCCACAAGGAGCCATAACTTTTCTGCATTTACACTGTCAAGACGCTTAGAATCTTGAATGTTTCAATAAAGCCACCTCTCATTCTTCTAAATTTCACTGAGTACAGACACAAACTACTAAAACTGTACTCATTAGGCAATTGCTCCATGCACAGGATCAACCTAATGACCAATCTCTTGACTGCCTCCAATGTCAGTATATCTTTCCTTTGGCAAGGGGACTAAATTTTTCAAAGTATTCCAGGTGTAACTCACCACTGACCACAAAGCAGATGATTTAAAATTTAAAGTAATTACCCGTGGTTTCTCTTTATTATTCCTAATCCTTTCCTTGTTGATCTACTTTCAATGGAAGGTCATAACAATAATGATTTCAAAGGATGCAAGTGGTGCTTTCAAATTAAATTGTTACTGAACTGTTAATTTTACTTACATTTACAGGAAAACATTTTAACTTCAGTTATGTATTCTGAAAATGCAATTCAAGCAACTGTAGCCTTCAGAATGACAAAATGATACTGAACAATCCTTTCCCTGGAAAAGCAGACAAATTACACCTCTGAAAGACTCCATCCTCTGATCCAGCTCCCTATCACTCATGGGCGAGCAGGAGCAAGCAAGAAGGCCACAAAGCAGATTAGAGCTGGATGGGTGATACAAGAGTGGAGCAACTCAGTTGGCAAATTAGTGAGAGGCCCAACATATGTGTGGAGGGGACAACAGCAAAGTTGCTGGAAAAACTCAGCAGGTCTGACAGCATCTTTGAAGGAATAATAGAGTTAACATTTGTGGTCCGGTTCTGAGGAAGGGTCTGAAACATTAACTGTTTTTTTCCTTCACAGATGCTGCCAGACCTGCTGAGTTTTTCCAGCAACTTTGTTTTTGTTCCTGATTTACAGCATCTGCAGTTCTTTCAGTTTTTAGATGTGTGGAATGGGTTAGGAGGGCAAGCTGGGGAGGGCTAGTAAGGTGGGAGGGAAAGGGAGGGAGGCAAACAAGAATCGGGGGGAAATTTAGGTTAGAAATGAGCAAAGTGTGTATTTGAAGGATACACCGAGCATGCACTGAAATGTAATTTTAGTTCCTTTAACCACTACAGACATTCCCTTTGGAACTCTCTGGTCAAATCTGTCCACTCTGACACTTCCCTCCAGACTTTTATAAAATACCCTCAATGGCATCCTATTCAAACACTTGTTATTCTGTATTTACTTCCTCTCTGTTAAGTTCTTTCAGGCCTCAGGTTCCAGTTAAGAGTCCTAAAGGGATATAACCTGTTGTTCACCAAATTGTGATTCTTTTCATTTGGTTGTTCAAACATTGATTAAAGCTAGCCTCAGAACCTTTCTTAATCATTCTCAATAACTTTGCAATTTTCCTTCCAGTCAATGTAAACCTGGATACGGAAACAGCAAACCCAAGCCTTGAAATATCTAAGGATATGAAAAATGTAAGATTAACCCGGAAAGCGACGAATGTCCATGACAGTGAAGACAGGTTTACAGTCTTGGAATCTGTGATGGGATCAGATGGATTCACATCAGGCTCACATTACTGGGAAGTGGAGGTTGTGGGGAATCGACACTGGTATGTGGGAGTGGCCAAGGAGTCTGTGCAACGGAAGACAGAAATCCAGTTGACACCAATGAATGGATTCTGGACAATTGGGAGGACTGAGGATCAATTTCAGTCAAATTCTGATGAAAAATCTAATATCACAGTGTATGAGATTCCCAAGAAGATTGGTGTTTATCTCAGTTATGATTCTGGGATAGTTTCATTTTATAGTGCCAATACCAAGTCTTACCTCTACTCTTTCACTGGGTGTAAATTCACAGAGAAAATTTATCCTTTCTTGACTACGGAGCACTGTAACAAATGGCTGAGAATCTGCTCAGTTCAGGATTAGTTCTTTTTAAAAGGTCCCTGACCTCATGCTTTCTTCAAGGCAGGTTCCAGGTTAACACAGTTAGCTAAAGGAACCCATCAAATGTGTAAATATGAAAGTCAATCTTGGATTCTAAGATAAGATTTACAGAAAATGTCAAAAGTGCTTTTGAGTGATTATGACAATTATTGTTAATAGGCTGAGAATCTCATGAAAAGAAACCAGTAACTTCAGAGAAAAAAATAATTTCTAGTAAGAGATTTTTTAAAACTTGTCTAACAATTATCTGTTGAATCTGTGAATGATGTTAGCAGCTTAGTTCAAAACTGAATAAATTCAGCTGTTTGTATTTTCCTTTCTATTTACTGTCATGGGTAATTTTCTAGATTTTTTAAAAATACACATGTATTTAAAAACTGAAGATATATTGTTTTGCCTTAAATATAAAAGCACTTTGCAATATGTTGGTCGCTTGGTGTGAAATTGTAACATTTGAGTGTGCAAGCAACGGGCCAAACTGCCTGTTTCCACACTGTAGGGATTCTATGATCATTAATATTTTGTCAGAGATTTATATATTTTTAATAAACCATATTAAAACATTATCTTAAATTTCAGATTTTTCACTGCATTTTCTAATCAACTTAACAACAATGCACACATAAGAAAGGCAAATAACCCTTTTAAAAACTACATGTTGCAAACATAAATTTCTTTCTTCTCCAGAGGTAACACAGTGTGGAGCTGGAGGAACAGAGCAGGCCAGGCAGCATCAGAGGAACAGGAAGTTGACATTTTGGGTCAGGACCCTTCTTCAGAAATGGGGAGGGGAGATCAGAAATAAATAGAGAGAAAAGGAGTGGGGCTGGGGAACGTAGGTGGGATGGTGATAGGTGAGTGCAGGTAGGCAGTGGTGAGGATTGGTCAGTGAGGTGGGAGGAGCAGATAGGTAGGAGAGAAGATGAACAGGTTGTGTCAGGTCAAGGAGGTGGGGATGAGAGTTTAAAACTGGTGAAATCCATGTTTAGGCCATTGGGCTGTAGGCGACTGCGGCTGAATAGGAGGTACTGCTCCACCAGTTTGTGGGTGGTATCGTGGTGACACTGGAGGAGGCCTAGGGAATGGGAGGGGCAGTTGAAAGGGTTGGTGACTGGAAGGTGTTGTTTGTCATGCACGCAGTACAGAAGGTCTACGAAACAGTCAACACCTTCTGGTCAAGAAACATTTTAACTCCCCCTCCCTGGGTGACATGTCCATCCTTGGCCTCCTCCTGTATCACAACGACGCCACTTGGAAACTGGAGGAGCAGCACCTCATATTCCACCTTGGGAGCCTACAGCTCAATGGTCTCAATAATGGACTTTACCAGTTTCAAATTCTCCCCAGCCTCATGGCATTCCAACCCTTCCTCTCATCCCCATCTCCTTGATCTGACACAACCTGTTCATCTTCTCTCCTACCTATCCGCTCCTCCCACCTCACTGACCAATCCTCCCCACTCCCTACCTGCACTCACCTATCACCATCCCACCTACCTTCCCCAGCCCCACCCCTCTATTTATTTCAGAGACTTTCGACTTTTCCCTCCACCCTTTCCGAAGAAGGGTCCCGACCCGAAACGTCAGTCTTCCTGCTCTTCTAATGCTGCCGGGCCTGCTGTGTTGATCCAGCTCCAGCATCTGCAAAGCTTGCTTTTCTTCCCCACTCCTTTCCCCAGTACGCACACGCGCCATTGCTCCAATCAGAGATTGACATTTTACCCGCTCGTGCGCTGACAGTTAGGGTTTGAACCTTCGGCGCCTCTGTCACGTGCAGCTTATCACGGATCCTCCAATCATAGATTGACATTTCCCCCCTCCCCGCCCCTTCACTTTCTCTCTGTCCCCCTCTCGTATCCCGCGCCCGCTCGCGCTCTGACGGTTTCGATTTGAAATCTCAGCTCGCGGCCGGTGCCCAGATTGAGCGGAGCTTTGATTTGGAGCGGCTGTGTACACTGGTTGCCCGGCAAAAAAAAAACGCTTCAAATTAGAGAATTTAAAAAGGGGGTTGAAGAATATACATATTAACATCTGAAGGGAAGATGGTTCGTTGGTTGTGTGACTGGACCCAAGCACCTTGTGAAGGACAATGAGGGAAGAGAACGGACACCTCATCGAAAAATCAGGATTGATCCATATAGCCGACAAGCTGTGCTTAATGTACTAACCTCTTAGAAATTTTCAAATCCAGCATGGGAGGAAATACTTCTTTAAGCAGGAGAAGTTTCCTTGCATGAAGTTTTCGTGATGCTGCTATGAGGCTTTTTTAAATGAAAAAGATTCTTAAAAATTGTGAATTCCAAAGTGGTATTAGTTGTAATAAGGTAATGGTTCTAAAATAGTTAAGCTTTGAACTTTACTGAACTCCAACCAATCTAATGATACGTCGGAGCCTTTGGGTGGAGAATCAGTTGAGTTTGGTGTGGTGTCCTAATGGCGATGCACATTGTCGTCTGTACCTCTTGTTAGTAATAATTAATATGTTTGTGTTAAAATAGCCTGTATATAGTTCCTGTTGTTTATGAAACAGCATCTTATCTGAGATAAGTGCCTCTTCTGCTGAGACACAGTCATGGCCTATCCTGACACCACTGACTACTTATTAGATTAGAAGTAGGAGGAATGGTGGTAGCACTCGACCCCACCCATTAGCTATTGGTATCCAGGCATTAGACTTGCCCAAATCGTACAAAATCCAGGCTTGGAGGCTGGAAAAATTAAAATGAAAATATGGACATTTCTGAAATCACAAACAGGTGTCATGAGCATCAGTTGCAAAATGGGGTCATAATTTTGCTTCATATTGAAGTCAGAAGTATGATGAAGAAATTTAAGAATCATGAGTTACAAGGCTGTGACCAGTAAAACATTTCAGAGGTGAGAAGTTTTTAAAAATTGGATATATTTTGATTTTGGAAAGAGTGCAGGCATGCATTTTTCTTTAAATCAGGTAAAATAGTGCAAATCATCTGAAGAAGAGACAAGAATACGAAGCCCCTGTTTTGTTCAAAAGGCTGAAGGCTTCCAGAAAGAAGCAAAAGAGGCTGGAATCCTCCATATTACTTCTTGATATTAGGAAGATTGAACAGAATTTACAATGTTTGAAATGATTAAAAGAATTTTGCTGCAGTGCAGAATTTTTATAGCTCGAAGCAATTTTTTAAAAGTGCATTACAAGAGAAGGGGGGAGAAGAAAACAAATGATGGTGTTATTTAAAGAATTTGATACAATTCAGCAGTGATGCATAACTAACAAAAACATAAAGTATGAGCTCTGAAAAAAAACAAGCAAACTTTATGGTAACTTAAAATGAAATGGAGTTCCTGAATGGAAGAAGGCAAACTTTTTGAACTTTTCAACAATATTGAAGCTATACTGGTTTAAAATCATAAGATTGATCAACACATTAAGAAGAAATGCTAAGGAATCCTAGTGATTAAAGATCAGATATAGTTCTAATAGCACACAAGATTGTTTTCTCCAGGGAATTCAGTTACCAAGATATGAAATTGCTCCAAAGTTAAATACCGAATCAGAAGCAGAAATTAATACTGTATTATATTCAATAATTTCTATAGCAGCTGATGTTATAAATTACCAAAAGTGAAACAAAATGTAGACCCTTTTGATGACAGGAAGGTTTTCAACAATCACTTTTAAGTTAATAACAATTCTTAAGTGGACAAATGAGATGCCCGTGATTGCCAAGAAGCCCACGTTCATAAAGTGCCCTTAGAAAATTAATTACCTCTACAAATTAATTGATACAGGTGACTATGAAGACTGGTAAACAGTTCATTAGAGACAGAATTGTTGTAAGAAATTTTGATAAACTGATTGTCAGATTAATTACAGTGGAAAGATGATCTAACTTTAGAGAAAACTATTGATTTGTATAAGAAAGAATGTCCTTCATCGCAGTTAGTAAGGAGCACAGTCACTGAGTAAGACAGCAGCAGAGTAAGACCAAGGACAAGTATGTTATTGACTAGATTATTGGAAATTTTGTTTAATGTGGAAATTTGATCCCAAGATGGACAGAAGTGCTTTATCTAAGGTTTACTATGAGAAGCAAACTCCAGGGTGAGAGGTGAGTAGGATAAAAAGCGTTGATTGCGAGGCTGACCTGCAGTGAGACCAGCAGCAGAACGATGTCAGAAACCACACCATAATGCGAATGCAGAAAAAGCTGCTTGGTGAGTAGGATTGGTGAATCTTCTAGTCTTTAAAGAAAAAGTAAGCTCTTCAGATTGTGTTAGGTCTCCAGTGTTTTTCTTGTCTCTTTTAAAAATAGCTACTTAAGTATTAGCTGTCATTGTCATTGTCATTTGTCATTTTTATTTTAATTTATAACAATGATATAATTACAGTGAAGAATGAAGAGCAGGGAATCTTGAGTAATTAATTTATAAGTTAAATTAAAAATGCCAGTGTTGGCAGGGTGATGCATTGCTGCTGCAATTTGGATGCTGCTAGACACCAATGTGATCAGAATGAATACATCAGTAGTAAGAGCTTGCAGATTGAGGAACTTCAGATTCAAGTTGAGAGTTGGTGTCTGAACTGCATACATTGTATCACATTAGGGAAAGGGAAAGTTACCTGTGCGCTTTGGTCCAGAGGGTGGTCACATGCCTTAGACCAGGCACATAGTAACATACGAACAAGAGCAGGCTATTCACCCCCTCAAGCCTATTCTGTCATATAGTGATCTGTGACCTAACTCCAGTTACTTGTCCTTGGCTCAATCCCTTAATATCTTTGCTTATTTATCTTTGATCAGTTGTTATTTTAAATCTATCATCAACTGGTATTTGTGGAAGAGATCTCCAAACCTGTACTACTATTTATATATAGAAGTGCTTTCTAACCTTTCTCCTGAAGATCTGACCCTAATTTTTAGACAATGCCCCCTAATTCTAGAATCCCCAACGAGTGGAAATAGTTTATCTTTATTTACCCTGTCTCTTCCTGTTAATACCTTGAAGACTTGGATTGCCTGGAGGGGGAGAGGAAGAGTAGGACAGGCTGATCGGTGTGTGGATGCAGTTGTTTCTTCACCCCTACAAGGAGTGAATCCTGGCCTTTGCTGAAGACTGGAACTCCTGTGGGGTTGCTGAAGCAATTATGTTCCACCGCCAGACTACACTGGTGCAAGAGGTTGACAAGGTAAGACACTCCAGTCGGAACTCCGATGCTTGCCAGTTCCTTTTTCCTTTTCTGTTCCTTCTTTTTCCTCTCCTCTCTTCTCCTTGCAGTATTCCTTTCTCTAACCCTGCACCCAAGGGAGTTGAATCGTGACCGGAGATTGGGTGGGAGCTGAGCACACAGGCTATGTCCTGTCGTGGCAGCAGAACGGGCTGAGTCAAGGACCAAAACCTGGAATGACAGCAGCAGAGTGAGCATCTGTAAGATTTGTACCTAGTTGCTTGTACCTAAGATGGTGCCACTAAAAGGCAGCCATTGGAAAGACATTTCACTGCATTCCTGTACTTCTGTATTGGAGTACAAGTGGTGATAAAAGATGTTCAATTCAATTCAATCCACTGCAACAGTCTCATTAATT